GCTTGTATGTTGGTGTATATATCGGGTTCCGAGAACCATGCAAAGGTATGTCGAATACAATAGTTATTACATTTCAACAAATTATCTTCTGGTACATGTGCAGTTTATCAATATGCATTGTCTTGTTTGTTCCTCAATGTTTGTGGAATCATACTCACTTAGATCGAGTCATGAATTGAAAACAAAATTCTGTCATTTCATTTTTTCAGAATTTGATGGCAAAAAATAAAATTTATTTATCAAAACAACATAATCCAGTAAAGGTACATTACAGCTATATTAAATCCTAAAGGCATAAATTAGTTACGGACTTTTAAGAAGCTGTCATTGCTTTTGCATTCATTACACTATTTCAGTTAGCCAAATAGTCAAAGCCTATTATAACCCTTGACTTTTATGGTGACAGCTCTAATAGCCAGTGACAAATATCTCGCTATATCCTACACAGCGATATGTACGTGTGCGCGTAAATCACCTCTTCATTCTCAGCATCAGACAGAAAACATATGCTGTGAACCCAAACAAGTCCAAGACCCGAGCCCATAACCCCAGCCCAGAACCCCAACTCAAGGCCCCAGGTCCCAGGTTTGACAGTATGCCTCTGATAAGATATGACGATGTGTGAAGTGTGTAATTGGGACAGGTGTCTGTGTCTGATAAGATAATGCTATGAATACATGACACTTTTTGTGGATAGCAACTTTCTTTTAAATCTTTGTCTCGACGTTTCAGAGATACTTTTTCTACAGGTGGAATGAAGGAGAAAGAAGTAGCTCTGAAACGTCGTGACAAAGAATAAAAGAAGTTGCTGTTTATAGATAGTGTCATGTATTCGTGTTCTTCCAACTTCTTACTTATTATCAAAGACATGAAGATAATGATAGTTTGTGACTAATATCTGTGTGCACTTGTGGAGTCTGCGCATGTGTGTATGTGTCTGATAGGATGATGTGTGGCAGAGTTTAGGGAATACTTGTGATATGTGTGTCAGTGTCTGATACGATGTGATGGTGTGTGGCGGAATTTAGGGAATACTTGTGGGATGTGTGTCAGTGTCTGGTACGATGTGATGCTGTGTGGCGGAGTTAAGGGAAAACTTGTGAGATGTGTGTCAGTGTCTGATACGATGTGATGATGTGTGGTGGAATTCAGGGAATACTTGTGAGATGTGTGTCAGTGTCTGGTACGATGTGATGGTGTGTGGCGGAGTTTAGAGAATACTTGTGAAATGTGTGTCAGTGTCTGGTACGATGTGATGGTGTGTGGCGGAGTTTAGGGAATACTGGTGATATGTGTGTCAGTGTCTGATACGATGTGATGGTGTGTGGCGGAGTTTAGAGAATACTTGTGAAATGTGTGTCAGTGTCTGACACGATGTGATGGTGTGTGGCGGAGTTTAGGGAATACTGGTGTAATGTGTGTCAGTGTCTGGTACGATGCGATGGTGTGTAGCGGAGTTTAGGGAATACTTGTGAGATGTGTGTCAGTGTCTGATACGATGTGATGGTGTGTGGCGGAGTTAAGGGAATACTTATGATGATGTGTGACAGTGTCTGACACGATGTGATGGTGTGTGGCGGAGTGTAGGGAATACTTGTGAGATGTGTGTCAGTGTCTGATACGATGTGATGGTGTGTGGCGGAGTGTAGGGAATACTTGTGATATGTGTGTCAGTGTCTGATAGGATGATGTGTGGCAGAGTTTAGGGAATACTTGTGATATGTGTGTCAGTGTCTGATACGATGTGATGGTGTGTGTCGGAATTTAGGGAATACTTGTGGGATGTGTGTCAGTGTCTGGTACGATGTGATGATGTGTGGCGGAATTTAGGGAATACTTGTGGGATGTGTGTCAGTGTCTGGTACGATGTGATGGTGTGTGGCGGAGTTTAGGGAATACTTATGAGATGTGTGTCAGTGTCTGATACGATGTGATGATGTGTGGCGGAATTTAGGGAATACTTGTGAGATGTGTGTCAGTGTCTGGTACGATGTGATGGTGTGTGGCGGAGTTTAGATAATACTTGTGAAATGTGTGTCAGTGTCTGGTACGATGTGATGGTGTGTGGCGGAGTTTAGGGAATACTGGTGATATGTGTGTCAGTGTCCGATACGATGTGATGGTGTGTGGCGGAGTTTAGAGAATACTTGTGAAATGTGTGTCAGTGTCTGATACGATGTGATGGTGTGTGGCGGAGTTTAGGGAATACTGGTGATATGTGTGTCAGTGTCTGATACAATGTGATGGTGTGTGGCGGAGTTTAGAGAATACTTGTGAAATGTGTGTCAGTGTCTGATACGATGTGATGGTTTGTGGCGGAGTGTAGGGAATACTTGTGATATGTGTGTCAGTGTCTGATACGATGTGATGATGTGTGGCGGAGTTAAGGGAATACTTGTGATGATGTGTGTCAGAGTCTGACACGATGTGATGGTGTGTGGCGGAGTGTAGGGAATACTTGTGAGATGTGTGTCAGTGTCTGATACGATGTGATGGTTTGTGGCGGAGTGTAGGGAATACTTGTGATATGTGTGTCAGTGTCTGATACGATGTGATGGTGTGTGGCGGAGTTTAGGGAATACTTTCGAGATGTGTGTCAGTATTTGGTACGATGGTGTGTGTGTTGGGGTTTAGGGAGTTCTGGGAGATGTGATAGACAGTGTCTGTACCAGGCGCTTTTTCTTAACTACACATACGGCGTTGGATGCCGTTTCGTAAGTCAAATTGATGACGATACAGAGCTCTTCTCTGAATCTCTAAAGCACTTCAGTCGTTTGGGTGTACCTATGATAACAAATACACAAACACTTATAACACCAAATATATACATTCATGCATGTGTACCTTCACGTCCTTAATAACCAAGCGAATGCGTAGTCAAGTAGATGCTCAGAGAAAGTAATATAGCGCGAGGATCCCTCAAACTAGATCAAAGATACTAATGTATGGTCCTTATGTTATCACGAATCTTTATAAGCTTCTAACGATGTGATTCATATCTGAATCCAATCAGGCATATTTAGTTTGATATTCTATCAGACGTTTTGATTACTTTTGTTTCATATTTCGTTCTATAGTCCGCGCGATTATTAGACGTGTGGTATTACTTTCGTTTTGAAAATAGCTACTTCATATAAAGAATCCATTTTGACATTAAGACATATAACAGATGTCTGACTCCACAGTTTGGTATGATCTCGGATTCGTTGTAGACACATAGATCATCACCCTTCAATTGAAAAAGTTAACAGTTTAGTAGACAGAAATATGTCTTTGAGACAATTAAGTATGCTCTTCAGGCAGCGTTTGAGTGGCAAAGAGACGCAACTTTGAACAGTATTCCAGTTATATCACCGCGTGTCAGCTTAATGTGGGAAAAAAGACTGAAGTGATGCAGGTCTCAGACGTTTACCACTTTGGCGAAACCCACAAGGACGGTTATGATGCTGACAAATTAATGATCACAATCAGAGCTAACCTACGATTCGAACTATTGATCATTGATTCATTACACGCTTAATTGAAATAACTTTGCATAACAAATTGCGGATCCTTAGACAACCGAGCGTTAGAAGAAATATGAAAACGTACAACAACTTTATGGGTAACAACTTCTGGTTTAATTGCAGCTTAAGAACGGTGTACGAATCTACATGGAGTCGCTATTGCAGTATACCAGAGATGTTGTACGTTTTCTTATTTACTCAACAACTTATAGATTGCCAATCAAACACTCAGAGAAAATGTTGGTACTTAAATTAAAGGCAGGCATGTGGCTTATATAACCCCTCTAAACAAGATATAGTAAAGTAATACCCTAAAGCATTTATCATTGCCTTTGTCAAAGGATCAGCGTGTGTGTAATTGCATTCTCGGCTCCCTGGGGAGTCTATAACCAAAGCTGCCTGTTTTGCACGGGAAAAGGTTTGTTTTCACATCACCATCTCACCCAACCGGGATACAAAGGAACGTTTCCAATGAAACAATCGAAATAAACTTTAGAAACTTGCATTCTTTACCGTTTATTTTACAACTCAAATACATACATCTATATAACAACATTATCATAACATTACCCATCGGTATTCTTAACAGAGTACATAGCATACGAATGTACACGCTTGTCAACTTTTTTTAACGACTACAACGTAATAAAGATGTGCAAGAACTGAAATCTTCAAACAAGGAGGAACTATCAAAGTTCAACAAGAAGATTCTTCTGAAAGTTCGCGTGATCTTGCAGATTTATTTACATCGGTGTTGTTATATTTTCTAATACCCTTGGCAACTGTTGAGTAGCATGCAACACACATTTAACAGGAAGCAATAGTCTGTATTTTCTTCACACATTATAAGGTTTCAATGTTTCAATGTCCACCTACTGCTCGACCTCAAGGGCTAATTGCTTTCTTCTGCCGGAGATACATAGTCACACTGGAACAATAATTCAAAACATGAAAGCACAACATCTGTAACAAATATGTTTCATTATGCTTAATGTCCGTCTGGAAGTATAGAGAATCACAATAAAAAATTTCCGTCCACATTATAAAGGCAAAGCTGTTTGCCCTCCAAAACATTTTTTAAACAAAAGCTGCACCACGAACACTACTTCAGACAAAGATCTGTCTGATGGTCATCACATTTTAATATATGTGCTTATCGAAATGCCATTTTTAAAATGGCACTTCAACGGAAGACAAAAACACAATCGAAAACAATACGACCTTAACAATAGAGACACAAAATGCATTAAACTCTCATGGAGACAAGTATATCATGTTCTAGAGATCATTCCCCAGCTGATTTGGTCTTTAATTTGCAGATATTCGTTATTACGTGAAGTTATATCAAAAATAAATTTTACTTATTACAATATAAGTAAAAAAACTTCAAAGTCCACTTAATTGTTCTCACAACATGTTACCAAATGGTATTCTACATTTCAGTTGTCAAAAGATTCCTTATTTTTAAGTTAAAAATAACATAATTTTCTATTCTTTTGTAATCGACTTCAGTGCCGTCGTCATTCGCCAAATAAATTCACACATAAATTACATCCAAGCAACAACATGTACAAATTATGCAATATTTATTATATGGGTGATGCAACTGCACAAGTTGAAACTGTGGAGCTATATACAGACATGGGATTACTATCAACAAAGGGATACATTGTCATATTATCAAGAAACACATATTCCTGCATTATACCCGACAGCTGAGGGCAATGTTTATATAATATTTACACTATAAAACGAAAATAAGCCCCGAAGTACTTCTTTTATAATAAATATTGCCTGTGCATGAACTGTTGGCATATATTATCTGTAGGAGACATTCGGTTTATCAGCAAGAAGTATTTACGGTGTAATTGGGGGTATATTTAGCTAGTGATTATCATTCTTGGCTGGCGAAATGATATCTGTTCCTAATGGCGTGTGTGAGGCTTTTTAGTCTTATCTCAAAGCACTGGCGAAGAAGTGTAGTTGTGCGAGAAAACTCTATACGCTTATCATTGAAGTTTTGTGTCCAACTCCAACGCAGGGGACATAAATCATAGCCTTAACTAGTCAGTAATCGTATTCACGTCGCGCACGCATGTCTGCCGGCATTTCAACGGCAATAAAGTTTCATAACAGAGTGGTTTTCTGTTCTGGGGATTCACTGCAAACAGACATTAAAGCGTCCTCCGTCTTAAGGTCAGTTTTAGAGCAGCACGACTCTCCAACAACGAGTATGTCGTCTTCTTCCGAGACAGCATGGTTTTGGCCATGTCTTTGAACATACAAATACAATAGGGGGGTGATTAACATGCAGACATAAGAGCAACCGTAAGCCAATACATCTCTATGCTGAAAGGCAATTCTGCCATCTGCAAAGTCTTCGCAGAAATTTATGATGTGCGTAGGAAGCCAACCAATCAACATGGCAGATGAAATCCCAGCCAACACTTTGGCAACATTTAGACGTTGAACGACGTTTTGTCCACGTAACGCCTGCTTTCGAAGGTCTCTCAACACACGAATGTAACAGACAAACTGGACCATTAGCGGCACACAGAAGAGGGCGAGGAACATGACAGTAGTGTCCACGCGGCGGTAGATCAAGGGTTCAAGCTTTCGGGAACAGAACCGACGCTCGTCCACGATGTGCCACAGACTAATCACGTTGTAGAGAAATACACGAGGAACCATGGCAACACATGCCAACATCCACAATGAAACTGTTATCCCCTTAGTGATGCGGTCGTTCCTGCAAATGAAATAAAAGGTTTCTTTAATTATAAATAGTTATTATTGTAGATATAAGACCAATCGAAAATGCGTTGGTGATGACAGCAGATGTTCGTAATATTGTGATATGTGTCTGTTGAAAAATACTCCAGCACCACTTTTTTCATACCTTCACGTATTTGAACATATCTACATATAGCATTGGCCTCACTTTGGTAAACCTACAGGATTCCTCTGATACCTGATGAAAGCTGGTTTATATCACTGTTCATCCAGCTGGTCGGGAAGGACTGTTGCGGAGAAGCAGAGGAAGCAGATAAACGATTGGTCAAATAACTCTTGTCATGGAATAATTACAAAATATGTAAGCCATGACATGATCGATTTCGAATTGTGTATTTCAATATAAATATGTCACTTTGTAAACAAAAAGAAATGTGCTTCGTCAGAAAATAAATACATAATTTACAAAACTGCTACTGTATATATAGCTGGCGTTGCTTAATTATATGCGTGCGTATAACTCACTCTCTCTCACTATATAATATATATAGGCAAAACATTTGTGTTCAGGTTTATCTTACTGTGAATGTTTGGTGGCACACAACTAAAAGTTCCATTTTTAAAAGTATTTTGAGGATTGGAAGAATATTTAGACTTAACTAGCTAAAGATGGACTTGAAGGCTTTATACTATTTTTTTTTTTTTTTGGGGGGGGGGGGGGGGGGGGGTCACAAAATTTCAATGTCATATTCAAATTCTCTCTGGCATGTTTGTTGTTCTTTGTACTGGTTATGTTCAAATTTCTGGCTATTTTCATCTCCCACTTGAGACGCTAGTTTGTTAACTGAGTACATGTATTTTTACACAGTTAGGAAATTGATAAGTCAGGTGACAAGCTTGTAGATAGCGTCAAAATGGAATCTGTTGAAATATGAGCATAAATGTCTGCAGGTGTTCGCAATACTGCAATAGTTTCTGTTGATGTATACATAGAGTTGGAGTGGAGTAACTGAAAGTGCTATGTTATATAGTCAGGTGAAGTCATTTATATTCATATATGAATACTTGTGTAAACTCTTAAAATAAAATAGGAGATATTCGGAAATAACTTAATATTTCCAAAACTGTAGGGGATATTAGTTGTGTGGTGATAATGAACGAATACTGGTACTGAAGTATGACAGTAGATGTTATGACCGCCGACAACAAGGGTAAGATGGGAAACTTCAAAGTTGACGTTTTGGATCAGTATTGCGTAATACCGCCACGATTTTTAAAACAATCATTCACTGCGTATGAGTCGTTCAATGGCTATTTGAGGGAGTCTGTCCCATTCCCCTTGTAACGTGTTCGGCGGCCTATGACGTTGACGCACATGTCTCCCTTTCATGTCCTAGATGTGATCAATTGCGGAAAGGCCGGGGCTCATTACTGGACATGGCCTTCTATGTATGTTGTGCTGCTGGGGATGAGCATTGACGATTCGTGCATGGTGAACACGGGCGGTGTCGTCCTGAAAAGAAAACGTCGACAGAAACGTCTGGCAAACGGGACAACAAAGGGTGCCAGTATGTTTTCCGGATGGTACTAGTCCAGTGACGCTTCCTTGCACAATCTGGAGTGCTCAGTCATTTTGATGCCACCCCACACCACAGCCGATTCACCAAATTTGTCATGAGGTCTCACGTTTCGATTGGTTTGAAGACCACCTCCGTCGTCTAGTGGTAGAGAGCACAAGGTCCGGGGTTCGCGTTATACCAAAAGACGTCGGCTTTAAGGGGTTAAACGAGGTCTGTTTGGCTGGGAGTCGGTATACTGTGTATGAAGGGGCTATTCATGTTAAACTGCGGCATGGTATCACAGTGGGCTATATAAGTGCAATAATCTTGATTCACCTCACACCACATTGGTTTGACGTTCATTTCAACGCCAAAAGGGAATCGGGACTCAACTGAAAACATGACACGTGACCAGTGACGAATACCCTTTTCGACGTTGATACATCATTGACGTCTGCTGTCTGTATGACGATTTGTTAGGTGCGCCGCAACACGTGGCCGTCGAGCATGGAGATGAGCTGCATGTATACACGAATCGTCTGCCGCGTAATTCGTACGCGAGTAGCTCGATGAAAGTTTGCAGCTATTTGATAAGCCGTTTAAGCTCAATTTCCTAGAGCCTGGTTTCGGATCAATCAATCCCGTACTCTTGTCGATGACCTGGAACGCCCTGAACGGAGTCGATCGTCAACATTTTGGGTGTGTTGGTACATGTTCCATGGTCTGCTTATCACAGACTTAGACACATTGAACATATTTGCTCCTGCATGATAGTTTCTGTCAGTTTCCGGCATGCCAGTAGCCATTCGACGCTCCGTTAGTTCATACACAAACAATGCATTTTATCAAGTAAATCACAACTGTACAAAACGCTGAATTGATAAGATTGTCAGAAATAATGGTCCACGGAGATTAATCAACCTTCCTTAAAAGTGTCAAACCAGGAAAGACACCCTACGCACATTCGTGGCGCCACTATGCGAGTCACATGGAAAAGATAGGTTGTGTTTTTGGTGTAATGTTTTACAAACATAAGCGCTCATGCGTGGGATGTTTCGTATCTTCGTTCTAATGCTTAATAGTAACACTAATATTACATATATATGCACACGCACACACACGCACACGCACGCACACACACACACACACACACACACACACACACACACACACACACACACACACACACACACACACACACACGTTCATTTGCATTTAAAATAACTATGGTTTCTAAAGTTGGGAATCTACATTCTGAATGAATGTGATGTTAAATGTATCACAAATGAACACGTTTAATTGTCGTCATGTCGTTTAATCAACCTTAAGGAAAAATACACAATAGCAAGCGTAGAATAAAAATTTGAAACATCATAACTGATATTGTACGTTTGTAATTACAACCATTATCAAGGAAATTTATACTACAATCACCCAAAGTTATAAAATTAGTTGCTGGGAAGTATCACACGTACGTCATCATTTGTTTTGTAGCGTGATAACTAATAATTTAGTCAAGAAATTATATTCATCATTTACGTTGTTTTTTTCTCCATGCAAATATGTTCTACGTAAAATAGGAAATAATTAGGTGAATATCGTGTCTGATATGTGTCGTGTGAAATATGTGTCTAATATATTATTTTATGTAAAATGACCTGTCAAAATTTACTGTTTTCTACATAGAGAAGAAATGACCTTTCACAATGTGTCATAACTCTGTGTGTGACAACGCATACCTCTTTAGTGTTTTATCACCGTGAGCAGTACTGGAGTCCAAGGTGTGATGCAGACAAGCCACTGTGACAGACAAGGTGGCCGCTGCCACGCATACTGTCATGCCATAGTTGATAGATTTACCTGTAAGACAGAAAGCATTGAATAATAACAACGCATTTACAACAAAAGTTATTTTCCCTTCTAATATGCATATATCAACGGAAATAAATATACATGTCGGAAAACAAAGACAGGGCAGAATTAACAACTTTCTATGAAACGACTGATTTATCTTGAGTTTGAGAAGCCGTGTTCGTGAAATTATGTTTTCTGTTTTTCCCGCACGAAGATATATGATAAAGAAAATAATAAGGACCCAGCAATATTTTTCTATGAATCAGTCTACATTATTAACGCTCAAATGCACTAAAGAAGCCACACCAACTCAGATAAAACTCTTGAAAGAGATTTTTCTCGATTGTTAAAACATATATCAAATATAAATACATGTTAAATATGTTTTAGTTTCCGTGTGCGATTTGCAAAAGGTGAAACATGTCCCAGATTTATGATCATAGTTGCAGTCATATTTCGGCGCAGTTTAAAAACTCACTTTAAAGTATGTTAAATGAGATTGCAATTTCAACGAAATTTCAATTGGACTTTGAAATACGAACACTGGTTTTGGATTTCTGAGGTTTGCACATGGCATGAAAACAGAGAGACACTTCTAAAAGCTTATGTTAAAACTTTGATGATTAAAAAATATAAAGATGCCAGATAATGATGCAATTATGTGTAATTATGTTTTAACACGAAAGAAATATTAAACCATGAAAAGTATTTAACCCCCCCAGAATGTACAGATAATTAGTTTTCGCTTGGTTTTATTGAATATTTCTTAGACCATAGACGGTTTGAAAGGTAATCTTCATAAATCAAGATTTTTCAGGTTCTTGCAGATATATCATGGCGTTATAAACATAGCAGTCTCGCAACATAAACTCATTATTACATACAACTACAATACATTATTTATTACTCATGTCTTAAACAGTTTAATGCATCAAATGTGTATTTCAAAGTATGCGGAATCTCGCTGCGATACAAATAAAAGCGACAAAATCCTTTCCATTTTCATAAATAAGAGTCGATTGTACGATTTCGACTATTTCGTGAGCATGTGTTAATGAATCACTGTCAAATAATGATGATTATAACATTAGCATCATAAACATGTGACACCGTTGCATCATCTTCGTGCGGCATGGCCTGAAAGGGCCATCTTCTGTACCGTCATTTTAAAAGAACACTTTTATCCTTATTGTGATACACATTTTTCGTCTTGGTATTTAGATGACATCGTTTGAATGAATTAAGCACTATTTTCTACTGATCTGAAATTAACTGCCGTTGTTGGAGACTGATTTTAATAAAAGTATAGATTGCCTGTAATGCTATCATAATTGATATCAGCTCAGCGGCACTTATGTAATCACTTTCCATAACCGATAATCATTGTTAAGTAAATTCATTATTTTGTTAAAGGGAAAATAATATGTATACACTAAGAAAATTAAAATTAGTTTTATTTCTCCAGATGCGAGTGTGAAAAGAAATATGAGTGAGAACAAAAGTTAAAGTGCTTACAGTTTTTTTCACTACATTCTTGAAATGATATATACATGCATTTGATAATAGTGTTAGGACACTTACATGCAAAGCCTCCGAATACCCAATCCGTTATTCCATATGCAATAGCAATGAATGGGACAAAAACAGATAAAAATACGATGTTTCCTATGAAGTGGCTAGCCAAATATGTGTCACTTGCACTTGAAAGATTCCTTCTTCTATAGATAGAAGTCAAAGCAGCGGAATTTGTAATGACTCCTCCAGTGACTATAAGAAAGTACAGTACGGGAACAATGATGGTTTCAGGTGAAAGGTCAACAGGAGGCACATCACCATCGTCATCAAAATAATAACCATCCACATCTGTCAAATTTTCAATGGAAATATTTGGAAGAAGAAAGATCCCACTGTAATCAAGGAAGGTCTCCATGCTCCCAGTGTACCACTTTGTCAAAAATTGCACACTATTTCAGCATTGTAAAAGTTCAACCAAATATCCAGAAAAACGTCCACATGATCTTCAAGTGTCTTTCACTACTGTGAACATGTTGTCAGTCCACATCACCTTGCCCTTGGATACGTATGATGTAAGGAACAATAAGGAATGCCTGTCCGGATTTTTTGGCTGTTCTCTTAGCAGCGATTGGTCCGTCACATGAATGAGAAGGATTATATACCCCCTCATTAACTTGAATACCTACAACATCCAATGAATTCAGGTCTCAGTGTTTATTTACAACCGAAAGGAATGTGCTTCCGACATAAGATCCAGTAAACACACACACAGATGTGACTCCCCCTTGCCTTCTGTCGGAGATTCACCTATGAACCGTGGTGCCAATGAGCTAAGGTCACTGCCCGATTCGGGTGACCCGAAATTCCTCTGCGTGCCATGTAAACCTGTTCTCGCCTGGGCTATGTAACATTTCTCCTATAACTGCTGTCTCTGACATACGTCGCGTATTGTGCAATTTAAAGTTGTACTTAATAAGACAAACTTTAAACATTAATATGCAATGTCGTCAGAAGATGAATTTATAGGGACATGAAGCCTAGATAAGATCTTCTCATCTTCCATGGAGAAACTTAAATGCGTGTTATTTATTACATACGTTTATCCACTCTTCATCTAGATTAGATAAATATAGTAGCAAGCAACTGATGATAAAAATACGTAAAAGTGTCTCACTTCTAAACCTAAGTCATTAATCTTCCAGGTTTTTCTTTTACTAAAGGTAAATGATAAACACCTGCAATGCAACTAAGATATAACTTAACAATAATTGCATCTTACACAAAACAAACGGTGTTAAAAGGCAAAAACAAATTTTAAGACACATATGATAAGTGGAAACAATGTTTAAACCTTTTAAAATAAATGTACAGTAAGTGTATAAATCGACGCAATTTGTCTATTAACCTCATGTATAGATTTATCTGTTCCTAAATGTGCTTAATGGAACAATAGTTTTGATCAATTTACAATATTAACATCAAGAGGTCAGATTTACTACTAAAGCCTGGTGCATGAAATAGGACTGGCGATGTCCATGATGTATTCTACGCCCGCGGTCGTTTTTAACGCAGTGATCCGCAAAAACATTACCAGTCCAGCGAGATTACTAGGAACACAGATTGTATTAAAGAGTGCGATACACGGTTGAAAACGTAACTCGGAATGTTAAGTGTCTATACAAGTAGGAATGTAACACGCATTAAATGCTCAAGTGAAGTATGTTCTCAATATAACTAAGTAGATGTGACACCCTTGCAAGCTCCGATGACACTTTAGGAGAGCAATAACGATTATCTTAGCTGTGCTTCGTAGAGAAGACCGGCAGAGGGGGTTTATACCTATTTAGAAGGCTAAACATACATCTATAAGGAATGCTTGCAACTACAGGAATGCTTAACAACAAACTGTTTGACAATACCAACTCGTATCAGATGACAAGAAAGTGTAAATATCGTTTATCTGGTATTTGTTTTTGCTGTGATGATACAGTAGAATGTTAATGTTTGAGATGAAAAAGCATTCTTCTTAAATTTGTGTTCGCGTTTCCGAACAAAAACAGTGATAAATCGCAAAGAACAATGGGGAACGAAGCGTGGTTTATTTCACTATAACATATTGTTTTATCATGAAGTCCTTTCTGGAGATTCGAACATGCGCTGGCAACTTTATGAAGTCGTAAATTTGGACGACGTTATTTTTGAGAGGATAGTGTCTAATGAGTAGTAGCTAATAGATGTAGCTGGGCAGCGCAGATGAACGCAATGGCCGAACGATCGCACCCATATGTGGGAGAGATGTGACAATCGGTATGAGGAGAAAAGGTACAGATAATCGACGTGTAGCTTGTGAGAATATGCGGGAAAGACTATATTTAACACATGCACACACCTCTGTTCATAAATTGGACTTTTCCGACATTGCCGCGGTCAGATTCTATTGAAGGTGTCATCATTATTTATATACGGGTAAATATTGTTTAAGCGTGTACTTTTTACAACATACTTAAAGAGGCCGTACGTTATGTTGATATCTCATATAAGAAATAAACGACTCGCGCCCCTCATGGTTTATTCTCCCTGCAGTGTTTTATTGTAAGATAAACAACTCCAACTCGTCGTTCATGTCTTAAATGGAAGTATGATATGACTGTTTGATAACTGATTCGTTATTACCACATGTATGTATGCTGCTGATGTTTGATACATGATACGTTATCTGCATATGTAAGTACGATACGGACGTTTGATTTTTTATACCTCATCTGCATATGTAAGAATGGCGTACGTAGATCTTTGATGCTTGATACGTTATCTGCACATGTAAGTATGATGTGGAAATTTGATGCTTGATGCATTATCTGCATATGAAAGTGTGATACAGACGTTGGATGTTTTATACCTCATCTACATGTGTAAGTATAGCGTACATGGATCTTTGATGCTTGATACGTTACCTGCATATGTAAGTATGAAGTGGACGTTTGATGCTTGATACCTCATCTGCATATTTAAGGATGACGTACATATACCTTTGATGATTGATACGTTATCTGCATATGGCAGTATGATGTGGAAGTTTGATGTTTGATGCATTATCTGCATATGTATGATGTTTTATATCTTTATATGTAAATGTGACAGAATAAGTTTTCTGCATTTGTAAGTATGATATTGATGTTTGCTTTCAACTACATTATAACCATGTGTCTTTGAATCATGACTAAAACATGTAACCGCAACAGGTTCATTGACAACTTCCGAAATCTCTCCCGTCACGTTTATCGTGTCGCCCATTGTGACATCTTGTACTTGATGTAAATGTATTACGACGCGCTGTCATTGTGAGTAACTTACTGAGGTAGTTATTTAAAGACCTTTCTCATCAAATGGTGATATTATAGGAATACATGCGTTGTGTCAGATGTTTCTGAAGAACAGGTTGTGCGTAGATACGCTCATGTCGCCTCGCTTTTTGAGGAACTATTTTATTCCGCGATACAGCTGGTTGGTGTATGGTTGTCAGTGTAAACATAAAGTCACACGTACAAAATAAAATTGTGTATAGGTTTAGGCCTACATTCTTTGAGGTGCGAAATTGTGACAAATATTTTTGAGAATTGACTTTCACTTTGTGTGAGCTCATTAGTGTATGAACGCCCTAACCCTATGAAGGTTCATAGTCCAATGAACTCACACAAAGTGAAAGTCTATTCCTAAATAAAACACTGCAAAGAGTATATACCACGCTGCCTATAGGTCATGTGACCAACACTTTGACCAGTTCTGTAGCACATGTACATCAAACCCTGTTTTACCTCCACAAAGGGGAACTGATCCGTGGATGAAAAGTGTGGCAAAAATATTGATTTCATACCTAACAAAGTTTGTGAAAGCAGGGGTTAATAAGGGCACGGAATTAGACACTGGACGTTTGAAAAAAAGAGATTTTATAATAGTAAACATTTATATTTACCATGTTTGGCTAATAAACTGTTGGGAATAACAAGATATAAAATCATTATTTTCACTTCATATGTAAGCTGAGAATGAATGTTATACTCGACAATGTGAGTGAGAGAGCTGTCGGCTTTTCAGCTCAATTTTTGAAGAAAGCCCGAAGTGATGTAGGTCATGACGCCAAACCTATGAGCACGGAGATGTCGCTGACAAACCTAAATAATTAATCAGGGCGAATCTGATATTCGAACCTGGGATCATAGGTTTCTGGTGCGCCTAAGGGACGCAATTCTGCACCGCGAATTTCGACGCAGTAGACAAGTGTGCCACCCGTCCCCTTCGTGACTATGTACTCTGAAGACTGAAGACAGATTCATAAAAAATGTATATATGATACCTTGTCTGTTTATGAACGTATTGTATAGTTATATGGTGGTTATACCACAATATTCGTCAAGTAATGTCATCTGGGTTGCATGGCAAAACAATCTTCATTAAACGCCTCTCCTAAATGGCGCTTTGAACAGTTTTTCATTTTCAGAAAATCCTATTTGCATACGGCAAATCTGGGATTCGAATAGGCTGTTCCCAGCATCCAGGGGAAGCAACACTGCATTTTGACTAGTGGTGCCTCAGGCTAGACTGTGACCTGCGTCCTAAGATTGATAATTTTAAATGTAAGTGTATGATTACGTTGATATTTTGAATTGTTAAGAAATAAATCCTTATAGTGTAGGCTGTGGCGTAGCCTAGTGGTTATTGTTCGTCAACCGGGTTCGATTACCCACATAGGGAAAATGTTTATAAAACATACCAACTGTTTGTTGTACTTAACAACACTATCGTCATGCCATATTTGCTAGAATATGAGAATTAATACGCGTGTATACTCTGTCCACAACATAGTTACAGTAAAACAGTTTGAATAGAGGAGGCTGGAAGCACAATTAGGTGTTGCTATGACGTCCTTTAATGTTTTTGACTTGGGTTTTAACACTGAAAAAGATTGTGTGATCTTCAGATCCCGAATCTACTGAGCGTTCGCAAAGAGTGTTCACGATTTCTCTTGACATTTGTAGTATCTCGCGTAGGGCTGAGTGCACACATGTCTCACATGTCTGGTAATTAACACAACGAAGTTGTTTCTGACCTGTCTCGCCGATGAAGATACATATCTGTTCTTTAATGCTTGTCGTGTCGTTACATTTCCACGAAGAAACATTCAGATACTAGATACCTACTTAATACTCAAATAAAAATAAAATCAATTTTTTCATTGTACATGGATTTGTAATCTCTGATAAACGAAATTATTTATAGAGGAGGTATGTGAGTCATATGACTTGAATACACCCAAGTGTCATACATTTAGTCCCTTACTCACAATCAATCCTTGTAACAAAGATCATTCAGAACAAGTATCTCTTTTATGTGAAACCTTAGGCAAAATTACGTTTTCCAGTTTTTTCTGAAACAAAAATGCAACCCTTTTTATATGTCAGGTTGGTGAGACCCTTACTTTACTCTTCACTATAGAATTCACGTTAACGCCGTGAAATGGACAGAGTTGCGATCGATTTTTGATATACTTAGCCAATGTATTTTCGACATACGTTTCTCACGTGTTGGATAAAAGCTTTGAAGTTTTTTGAAGGACCAAGGAAGTTCCCCGTGTACTAAAACCCATACTTTGACCTTGAAATCCCTCGACATAAGTGCATTTAGATTCACATTGACTTAACTGATTAGCATATCGTGATCAGCCCAAACCATCCTGTCTGGGAAAGTTGCATAATCTGACGTCATTTGAAAATTACAATGTTTTGGGTCGATTGGGATGGGTACTTTGTTCCTTGTGTGCATGATAAATGTCATTACTTTT